GGGAGGAGCTGGTGATGGTGGGCGCCGACCACGTGGAGTATCGCTACGGCAAGGCCATGCCGCTCATCTTCGTGGGCGGCGTGCCCCGCAGCGGCACGACGCTGATGCGCGCCATGCTGGACGCCCACCCCGAGGTGCGCTGCGGCGAGGAGACGCGCATCATCCCGCGCGTGCTGGCCATGCGCCAGGCCTGGTCCAAGTCCGGCCGCGAGAAGCTGCGGCTAGACGAGGCGGGCGTGACAGACGAGGTGCTGGACGCCGCCATGCAGGCCTTCATCCTGGAGGTGATCGCCAAGCACGGTGAGCCAGCCCGCGTGCTCTGCAACAAGGACCCCTTCACGCTCAAGTCCTCGGTGTACCTGTCGCGCCTGTTCCCCAACTCCAAGTTCCTGCTGATGGTGCGCGACGGCCGGGCCTCTGTGCACTCCATGATCACGCGCAAGGTCACCATCGCAGGCTTCGACCTCAGCAGCTACCGAGACTGCCTCACCAAGTGGAACAAGGCCATCGAGGTGATGTACGCGCAGTGCATGGAAGTTGGCAGGGACAAGTGCCTGCCCGTGTACTACGAGCAGCTGGTGCTGCACCCGCGGCGCTCCCTCAAGCGCATCCTCGACTTCTTGGGCATCGCCTGGAGCGATGCCGTTTTGCACCACGAGGACCTCATTGGCAAGCCCGGTGGCGTGTCTCTGTCCAAGTGAGTAGGCCCCCGGCACTTCCGCCTAAACCCCTGCCCTGGAGTCAATTTCGTTGTCCCAAAACAGAGAACAATCACTCCTCTCTTTTCTGAGAATCGGCAAATTTTGAGTATGCTTTAAAATAGTAAGACAGTAGTGGGTTAAGGTTAAGAATAGATTCTGGAACCTGGGTGTCTGGGTTCAAACTCCCAACCTAGCTGTGTGACCAGGGGCAAGTGAGTCAACCTCTTGGGGCTTCTGTGTTCTGTATCTATAATATGGGACTGTAATCTATCTACCTTATAGATAGGTTAATGTTAGGTACTATTATTGCTATTATAACATTGGCGTTGATACTGCTTATTGGATTACGCATCATCCTCACCATCATTACCATTTAATGAGTGCCTACTATGTGGCAAGTATTGGGTTAAGCCCCCAACAAATAGTATCTCCTTTAATCCCCACAGCAACTTCAGGACATAGGTACTACTTTTATCCCCGTTTTACAGATGAAGAAGCTAAATCTCAGAGAGGAGAAGCTCAGGCCACACGGCTCACAAAGCGTGGCGTGGGCTTTGAACCCGGGTCTGCTGGATTTCCGAGTGTGCTCTTGAGCTCTCCAAGTTCAGGGCCTCTCCCGCCACCCTCTCCCTCCTTTCCCCCATGTCCTCTGCTCTCTGCCTTCCTCCCTTGGAGAAGCAGCTGTCCCTCTCCCGAAACCCCGAGCACTGGGACAGTGCTGGAGCTGAGGATGTGGTCTCTGCATGCCCTGACCTGATCAGGCCCCCGACATCCCTGAGAGCCCAGCAAAAGGGCAATCCACCCATGGCCAGTCCCTGCAGAGCTAAAGGCTCCCAGCCACCCTCCTCTGACAAGGAAGTGCTTGTGTGCCAGCTACTCCAACCAGCTGAGGCTGGAGCTGGGATTTCCAAACTATTGTGACTAGAAAACCAGATTACTGCAGAGATGCTTCTCTATGACAGAACATTGGAAAGATACCCAAACAAGAAAGGACAAACAGCCTATGATCCCCCCACCCAGAGTTTGATATATGACCTACTGGTCCCTTTTCAGGGCATATTGGTAAAACCTGAGTCCAGCTGAACATGTTCCTTGCAGCCTTTTTTCACTCTGTGTGTGGGACCACTTGCCGTGGCACCTGGCACTCTGCTGCGACATCGTTTTAAATGGCTCGGTAAGAGGTCACTGCACGGATATGTGATTTGCCATCCCCTAATGTTGGACGCTTTATGGATATGTATTAAGCATTTGCCCTCTTTTGTCTACATTATTTTGTGCCATGAAGTACTAGAGGCACAGGATTTAGGCAAAGTCATGTACATGTTTGAGATTTTTGACACATTGGATACAGTTGAGATTTATATCCAGGTTTGAAGTCTCCAAGTCCGTGCTGCACCCACCAGTCCCCGCCCTTTTTCCTTCTCCTGTTCTCCTCGCTTCCAGTCTTGTTCTCCTCTTACTACTTCTGCATGTCCCCAAGTTATCTCCTAGTTGTGACAAAAGCATTAGACATGCCTTCAATCCTGGGGGTTCCTCAGCCCCCAGCTCACAAACCCCTGAATTATACCTGGCAAGCGCTTCTTGATCCAGAAAGCTTGGTCAGCCTGTGGGATGATGGGCGCACCATGGTCACAGCAGAAAGCTGTTCAGTGTCCATCTCAGAATAGGAAAGCAAGTGATGGAGGAATGCTACACAACTAGAAAAAAGAATGAGGTATTGTAGAGTGGGGAAAAAACTAGGCAATACATCGAACATATTTGTTTTACAACTGCAGACGTGTGTGTACAAGAGAGTGAGCCTACCCTCATTGAGCGTTTACAATGTGTCTGTGCTCTTGCAAGCGTTTTTTTTTTTTAGATTAGAAAATGTAGTGTATTTAGAAAGTAAATTAGAAAGAGGGAGAGAGGAGATTCACCTCCTCAAGGTAGGAGAGGGGATTGAGGCTGGGAAACATGGCTACTATGGCTCCAGGAGCCACATGGTCAGACCATGACTTAGCAAATCAATGGCCCTTGCAAGCATTTTATTTGTATTAACTCGTTTACTCTTTACAACAACCCAAAGGGGTCGGTACTATTATTATTCCCATTTACAGATGAAGAAACTGAGGCTCAGAGAGGTGAAGTAATTCCCCCAGGGTCACACAGCTGGTGTTGGTGCAACTGGCATTTGAAACCAGGCGGTCTGGCTTCTGAATATGCTCTTAACTACTCTACTGCTTAAAGCACAGAAAAAAGATTGAGAGACTGGGGACCTGAAGGAAGCTGATGGACCAGCAGTGGTGACCATTCAGTCTTACCATTAGCATTTGATAATTTGTTTACAAAGGACAAAATATTCATGTTAGTTATATACATACAAAATTTTTTATTTTTAAAGTTAGGATCTCTCGCTCTGTTGCCCGAGCTAGAGTGCAGTGTCACGATCATAGCTCACTACAGACTTGAACTCCTGGGCTCAAGCGATCCTCTTGCCTCAGCTTCCTGGGTAGCTGGGTCTACAGGCACGTGTCGCCACACCTGGCAAATATTATTTTTTTTTATAGAGAAGAAATCTTGTTTTGTTTCTCAGGCTGATCTCAAACTCCTGGTCTCAGGTGATCCTCCCTCCTCATCCTCCCAGAGTGCTAGGATTACAGATGTAAGCCATAATGACCAGCCACAAGTTGTTTTTCAGAGTCAGAGAAGTCAAGAAAGCAGAATATATGCAGCAGTGGTGTATATACTTTCTTCTGACTTCTTACTGCATACTTTTATCCCCATTTATCAGAGGAGGTATGATGAGGCAAAATGACTGACAGTTTCACAGTTGATGGGGGCAGAACTGGATGAGGGCCAGATCTCTCCAACCGTTCCCACTACCTCAGAGTAGCTGTACAGGGAGCCCACGTAGGTGCTGTCTGGGTCTGCCCTGCCCTATGTAACCTGTCCTCTCTCCCCAGGATTGAGCGGTCCACAGACCAGGTCATCAAGCCTGTGAACTTGGAAGCGCTCTCCAAGTGGACTGGCCACATCCCTGGGGATGTGGTACGGGACATGGCCCAGATTGCCCCCATGCTGGCTCGACTCGGCTATGACCCCTATGCAAACCCACCTAACTACGGCAACCCTGACCCCATTGTCATCAATAACACACACCGGGTGAGTGTGCACAGGTACTCGTGGAAATGTGCTCTTGGGCTTTGGCAGAGGTGGAATTTTGAGTTCCCTGAGAAGACATTTAGTCTCTTAATTCCTAAGCTTCTGACTTGTTTGTGTCTGATGGACATGGTAAATTGTATGACTGTATTTCCATTTTTGCTTGGGCTGCAGGGAAGCTCAAAGCCAACTGGTAGCCTGTCTCTCATACTCTTAACACCTAACAGCAGACCCACTGTGTGTTAATTTCATCTTATTTCTCTCTCTCTCTTTTTTTTTTTTTTTTTGTTTTTTTTTTTGAGTTGAAGTCTTACTCTGTTGCCCAGGCTGGAGTGTAGTGGCATGCTCATGGCCACCCCAGTGTCGACCTGCTGGGCTCTAGGGAAATAGAAAAAAAAAAAACAGCCGATGATCCTTCCGCCTCAGCCTTCCAAGTAGCTGGAACTACAGGCGTGTGCTACCATACCTGGCTAATTCTTGATTTATTGTAGAGACGAGGGCTCGCCAAGTTATCCAGGCTGGTCTCAAACCCGTGGGCTCAGGCAATCCACTTGCCTCACCTTCCCAAAATGCTGGGATTACAGACTGAGCCACCGAGCCCGGCCTGTTTCTCATATTTACCCTTTTTTTTCTATTTTCCTGGCTGTTTGTAAAACAGTCAAGTCTTTGTTGAGAGAGGGCATAAGTAAATAAACTATTGGTTTATTTGATTGATTTCTCAGGCAAATGTGAGCTTATGGCTGTTTAAATTACATTTGAAGTTCTCCTCCTCAGTTAAGGTGGTCAAGGGCAATGACTTTGACACGATGTTTCTGAAGTTTTAAAGTAGGTTGATACCGACTGGGTAAAAGACAGTTAACAAGTTTGTGGCTTTATTTGTATGTTGCTGTCACAGCTTCTAGCTTACGTTGGATGCTGTGTTCTGACTTCCTTATAGGCACTAAGTTGGTTAAAACATTTGAAAATGGGATCCAGGCCTAAGGAAGAGCCCTTTTAGCCTTGCATCATTGAGGCCTTGAAGTCTTAATTTAAGCTAAGCTCGGCATTTCTGAACACATGCTAATTTTAGAACGTAAGTGGTTCTTCCATTGAATCACAGTGGAAAAAGTTATTCCTCTCTCAGTTCTTCAGTTCCTCAGTTGACCCATGAAGAATGTCTCTAACTGGTGCTGATAAATCTTTAATGCCTCTTGAACATTCACTAATCTCTCTTTAAAAAAATTATGTATGGGCTGGGCACAGTAGCTCAAGCCTGTAATCCCAGTACTTTCGGAGGCCGAAGTGAGAGGATTGCCTGAGCCCACAGGTTCAAGAACAGCCTGGGCAACTTGGCAAGTCCTCATCTCAACAATAAATTAAAAAATTAGCTGGGCATGGTAGCGCTCGCCTATAGTTCTGGCTACTTGGAAGGCTGAGGCGGAAGGATCGCCTGAACCCAGCAGGTCGATGCTGGGGTGACCATGAGCGTACCACTGCCTGGGTGACGGAATGAGACTCCAACTCAAAAGGAAAAAAAAAGTATGTATTTATTTATTTTGAGACAGGTCCTTGTATGTTGCCCTGGCTGGTCTGAAGCTCCTAGGCTCAAGCGATCCTCCCGCCTCAGCCTCCTGGGATTATAGGCATTGCTGCCACATTGGCTAATCTTTCTTTTGATCAGAGAGAATTTACTAACACTGAGCTTTAAGGGTTCTGCCCTTGTAATTAAAGTGTAAGTCTTTATATGGGTTTCACAAGTTCCTCTTTCCCCTCACAGTCAGTTGATTTTGCTGGCATTTATTTACACAAATACTCAGAGACCCAATGTACACAGCCTACATTGACAGTGTGAATGATCACAACCCAGATATAGTTTTTATAATAAATATCATTATTAATTTTATTATTCCTTAATAATAATAGTCATTCTTTAAAGTCAACTTACGTGTTTTATATTCTCTTCTGTACATATGTTATCACAACAAAAAGTAATTAGCTAGATTAAAAAAAGAAGAAGCCGGGCTCGGTGGTTCAGCCTTTAATTCTGCTCTTTGGGAGGCTGAGGTGAGTGGATTGCCTGAGCCCGCGGGTTTGAGACCTGCCTAGGCAACTCAGCGAGAACTCATCTCTACAGTAAATCAAAAAATTAGCCGGGCGTGGTAGCACACGCCTGTAGTTCCAGCTACTTGGATGGCTGAGACGGAAGGATCGCTGGATCCCAGCAGATCGAGGCTGTGGTGGCTGGGAGCATGCCACTGCACTCCAGTCTGGGTGACAGAATGAGGCTCCAACTCAAAAAAAAAAAAAAGACAATGACGGTGATGATCTTGCAATCCAGCCTCCACCCCCACCCACTGTGCTTCTCTTAAGTGGCAGCTGACAGGGAATGATGACCAGACTACAGCACTCCTGGTTGGGTGTTTCCTAACTGGATGTTCTCAGACAGGGACCCCGCAGTGGCTCCTCTGGGGTCTCTTTAAAAGGTAGAGGCCACTGGGTTGCCCCAGGCTATGAATCAGAAGCTCCCAGAGTAAGGGTTGACTTTGTGTATTATATAAAGTATAAATAATTCTCCTGAGCACTGATGGCTAAGATCAGCTCTTTGGAGTTTGTTTGTTTATTTAAAATGGGGGATGTCTAGTTTTCTTCCAAAGAGCTTTCTTCCCTGGGGAGTTCCACAAATCTTGGCAAGTGTTCGGCACCTTGTTTAGTTGTTAGAGTAGTTTTGCTGTTACCGTGATGGTATGCCCCCTCCTTAAGAGCTGCGTGTGAGTGCAGGTGCATGTATGTGCACTTCTGTGTGTACTGAAGATGCTATGTGTCACTGTCAGGCATCCTAGGGCACAGTAAATGCAGTGACTGAAAGAGCACCGTGCTGATGACATCATTTCTACCTGTGCTGTCGTCTGTGGTAGCCACTAGCCATGTACAGCCACTGATCCTATGAAGTGAGACTAGTCCAAATGGAGAGGTGCTATCTCTGTGAAATACACACTGGATTTTGAAGGCTTAGGACCAAAAAAACTATGTAAAGTTCTGTTTTTGTGTTTTTTTTTCCAGTGATAGGGTCTGGCTCTGTCACCTAGGCTGCAGTGCAGTGATACAATCATAGCTCACTGCAGCTTCAAATTCCTGAGCTCAAGTGATCCTCCTGCCTTAGCCTCCCAAACTACTGGTATTACAGGCTGGCGCCACCACACTTGGCCTAAAATTTCTTATTAGTCACTTTTATATAAATTACATATTGGAATGCTAATATTTTAGATATATCAGGTTAAATAAAGTAGATTATTAGAATTCATTTCACCAACTTCATTTTATTTTTTTAATGTGGCTGTTAGAAAATTTAAAGTTATAAAGTTGGTTGAGATCACATTTCTCTTAGGCAGCGCTGGTCTTTATGATGCTTTCCTCCCAAGAGATAATGGAAAGGCCTGGAATGTTCTGGTTCCTACCTCAGAACCTTGGCTCTCACTGTTTCTTTTGCCCGGGTTGCTTTTCTGAGTTTACTGTGGCTGGTTGTCCTTGTCTTTTCAGTCTCAGCTCAAAGGCTACCTGGTCCAAGAGGATTTTTTTTTTCTTTGCTATGTTGCCCAGGCTGGTTTCAAACTCTTGGGCTCAAGCAATCCTGCCATTTCGGCCTCCCAAAGTACTGGAACTACAGGTGCATGCCACCATGCCTGGCTATTGTTTTGATTTGTTTTTGTAGAGATGAAGTCTCGCTATGTTGCCCAGGCTGGTCTCAAACCCCTGGGCTCAAGCAATTTTTCCATCTCAGCTTCTGGAAGTGCTGGGATTATAAGGATGAGCTACCATGCCCAGCTCCCTGATGACTTTTGGTTTTGTTTGTTTTTTTGAGTTGGTGTCTCATTCTGTTGCCCAGGCTAAAGTGTGGTGATACACTCATGGCCATCCCAGCTTCGACCGGTTGGGCTTAGGCAATCCTTCCACCTCAGCCTTCCAAGTAGCTAGAACTACAGATGTGTGCTACCATGCCCAGCTAATTTTTTTTTTTAAAGATGTGGGGTACCTATACCTTCAGGGTTAGGTATACAAATGTTGTTGATGAGGTATGCTCCCCCCTCCCCTGGCAGTTTTCCTCAACTGCCAATCCCCCCCGCCTCCCAAATTTTTGTTTTTTATTGTAGAGATGAGGTCTCATCATGTTGGCCAGGCAGATCTTGAACCCATGGGCTCAGGCAATTCTCTCTCCTTGGCCTCCCAAAGTGCGGGGATTACAGGCAGGAGCCACCGCTCCTGGCTCCCTAGTGACTCGCGGTCATATCCTTTCCTTACAGGCCTCCCGTGTTTGGCTGTGTCCTTGTATGTTTGTGTTCATCCTCACTTGCATATTGTCTGGTGTTCCCTCTCGCTTTTAATTGTCTGGTAAATAATGAAATGATGGAGCCCAGTGCTTAGGGCAATGCTTGGAATAAGAGGAGCTCAATAAGTGTTTGTTGGATGGAGGGATGGATGGGCAGATGTGTTGGGATGGATTAGGTTTTATTTTTGGTCATTTCCATGATAGTGATTTTCTTTTCCTCTCCTAGGTCTTGAAAGGGGACTATAAAACACCAGCCAATCTGAAAGGATATTTCCAGGTTAGAAACCCCCAGGGATATTCTGAATTCCTTTTTCCCTAGTCATGCAACCAGCTTGCTGTATGCCCTGGGACACTTCCCTTCTCCACTGACTGACAGTTTCCCCATCTTGAAAGCCGGTTGGGAGTTGGGCTAGGGGGTCTCTAAGCGTCTCTAGGGCCTCATCTCAGCAACCCTTCTGCCAAGCAGTTCTTCGCCTCGTCTCCCGACTTGAATGCAGTTGGAGAGTTTAAGTGGGGACTTTCTCTTGAGCTTTCTATTGCTATGTTGCCCAGGCTGGTCTCGAACACCTGGGCTCAGGCAGTCCTCCTGCCTCAGCTACCCAAAGTGCTGGAAGTACAGGTGTGAACCACCAATTTTTCCATCTTTTGAGTTTCACCGGCAGCATTTTGGATGGCTACATAGTGTTCTGTGGAATGTGTGTACCACCATTTACTTAACAACTTCTCTAAGACTTTCTAGTTTTTGCAATACCCACAGTGACATCATGTGTACCGTGGAGACAGGGAGTGATAAAGGTGGCAAGTCAGAATCTGATGCAAGTTTTTTGTAGGGAAGCCCTTGGGCCTGTTCATGGTGACAGGTGTATGCCATTCCTTCCTGTTTCACGCCTAAAAACAGCAAAAACCAGTCCCAGGTCAGGTGGACATTTTGTGTAAGCCATACAGTGCCGGGGAGTGGAAACTGGCCCGACCCTTTTGTGGCTTAGCCTTGAGGTTCAAGAATCTTCAAAAGATCTGGACCCTTCCACCCACTGACTCCACTCCTTAGAAATGTATTCTGAGGGAATGATCCAGCAGGACACCCTTGCCCCACAGAAGAGAGACAAAATCAGGATGGTATGTACATGATGTCATTTGTGATACCCAGAAGTTGGATACAATCAACATAGTAAGATCTTGTCTTTACAAAAAATCAAAAAGTTAGCTGGGTGTGGTGGTGTGTTGCTGTAGTCCCAGCTACTTGGGGGTTGTGGCAGAAGGATCACTTGAACCCAATACGTTGAGGCTGTGGTGAGCTGTGATCATGCCATTACATTCTAGCCTGGGTGACAGAGTGAGACCCCAACTCAAAAAAAAGGAAAAATATTAAGAAAGCAAAACAAACAACTTCCACATTAAAACTATAGTGAACCACTCTGCAGGCTCCAACCACCTTCCCTGCTTCCAGGTCTTTGCTGTTCCCTCTGCCAAGAATGCTTTCCTACCCTGATCTCTGCGTGGCTGACCTAGTTGTCATCTTTCAGATACTGGCTTATGGGTGTTTCCAATTCTCTGATCATCCAGACACCAACTGGCTGTTCAGCAATTCAATTCAGTTCTGAGACTAACTCCCCGAGTAAGCATCAGCCCCACAGGTGAAGGGCTCAGCCCCACAAAACTTCCCCACTTCAGATGTCAGCTGTAATGGGGGACCCAAGCTACCCACACTTCCGCCCAACTGACCACAAATTTGGAGGTTCCCACAACCACCTCCCTGACTTTGGTTTGCTATTTGACAAGTCACAGAACTCAGGAAAACACTTTCCTCACTATTACCTGTTTATTATAAAGAATATGACTCAGGAACAGCCCAGTAGAAGAGATGCAGAGGGTGAGGTGTGGTCACAAAGCTTCCATGCCCTTTCCAGGCATGATACCCTCACAGCATCTCAATGTGTTCACCAGCCAGGAAGCTTTCCAAACGCCATCAGTTAGGGTTTTAATGGAGGTTTCATTATATAGGGGCATCTTTGATGAGATCATTGGCCATTGGTGACTAACTCAGTCTCTACCCCCTAACCCCTATACCCTCTCTCCTTCCAGAAGATTGGGGAGGGGAGCACAAGGGTGGGGCTGAAAGTTCCAGTCCTCTAATCATGCCTTTGTCTTTCTGAAGTTCTCTCCTCCCCAGTTCTGAAGCTACCTAGGGGTCCCCAGCCACCAGTCATTCATTATCATTACGTTCTTATCACTCGAGAGATTCCAAGGGTTTTCAGATCTGTGTGCCAGGAACTGGGGATCAACCAAAACCAAATATTTTTTATTACACTACGACTTAAATGTCGTCTGTGGGCCGGGCTCGGTGGCTCAGCCTGTAATCCCAGCACTTTGGGAGGCCTAGGTGAGTGGATTGCCTGAGCCCGCGGATTCGAGACCTGCCTGGGCAACTTGGCGAGACCTCATCTCTACAATAAATAAAAAAATGAGCCGGGTGTGGTAGCACACGCCTGTAGTTCCAGCTACTTGGAAGGCTGAGGCGGAAGGATTGCCAGAGCCCAGCGGGTCAAGGCTGTGGTGGCCGGGAGCGGCCACTGCACTGCAGTCTGGGTGATAGAGTGAGACTCCAACTCAAAAATAAATAAATAAATAAAAATAAATGTCGTCTGTGGAGTCCCTTCCTGAGCACCATATCTGAAGTAGTCCAGACAGCAGTCTCTCACATCAGCCCGTTATATTGCCCATATTTGACATTAGCTCACATATGTGTGTATTGTTTTTGTTTTTGTTTTTAAGTCGGGATCCCACTCTGTTGCCCAGGCTGGAGTGCAATGGCATGATCACGGCTCACTGCGCCTCGACCTGGGCTCAGGTGATCCTCCTGCTTCAGCCTCTTGAGTAGCTTGGACTACCAGTGCATGTTACCACACCCGGCTAATTTTTTTAATTTTTTTATTTTTTTGCTTCTAGTCTGGACTCGCCATGTTGCTAGGCTGGTCTCAAACTTCTGGGCTCAAGATGTCCTCCCTCCTTGGCCTCCCAAAGTGCTAGGATTACAGACGTGAGCCATCATGCCACGTGTATGTGTATGTTTAGCAAGCTCTTCCCCAACTATAACAGAACCTGCCTGAGCTCAGGGCTGGGTCTGCCATGCTCATTACAAAATCCCAGCACCCAGCAGATAGCAGTGCAGTAAATATTTAATTGAGTGAGTGTGTGTCAGTGATGCTGAGGGTTGAAGCTCTGGGCCGTGAGGCATCCACCACCTGGCCGTGACCCCTTCCTCTGTGTGTTGTTTTCCTCCAGGTGAACCAGAACAGCACCTCCTCCCACCTAGGAAACTCGTGATTTCCAGGTAGGCCTGTGGACTTCTATGGGGGCTCCCACTGCTTCTGGGCCTGGAAGCTACTTCTCCCAAAGTCTTGTCCTTCCAGAGCTTCCCTGGGGAGAACTGTCCATCAAGGTGGGCTCACCCAGCCCCAGCAAAGGTTTCCATAGTGACGGGCTGGGGCAGCTATTTATGGAATCAAGGCTTAGTTTCCTAGCTCTAGATCAAAGATGGGGGCAGGGACTAGTGCTGAACCAACCAGGAAAGTGTTTGTCTGGCACTAGGGAAGGGGCAGCAAGTACCCCTATGATAGGAGGTACGCTGGAACCGTTTTTGCACAGAATGCTGTCTGCCATTCTGGCTTCTATAAGCAGCATCAGCTTTGGCCCAAAGCAATTAATGTTCTAATAATAGTGACAAACAATTATGTTCTAAGAATAACCCCATGGCATTGGGCCAGGCGCTTCTGGCATGTTACTCGTTTAACCCTCAGCGTCCTTGGGAGGCAGCTGACATGCTCCTCCCACTTTACAGGAGAGAAAACCAAGATACAGAGAAGGACTTTGACTTGCCCAAGGCTACACAGCCACCAAGTGGCAGAATTTCCCCAAAGTCATCTCCCCTAGAATATGCTTTTAATGAACAAGTTTAAGTGCATGTTTTTTCATATGTTGCTAAGAGGTGGGAAAGGGGTTTTGAACTTGGCAATTCAAAGATTTAAGAACTCCAGGTTTCACCTCTCTCAGCCTCCATTGTCTGCATCTGGTGAATGGGGAGTTCATCAATGCCCATATCCGAGGGCGGTCATGAAATGCAGGGAGCTGGCCCGTGGAGAATGCTTGGAAACTGTACAGTGCTGGACCCTTGCTGTGGACTTGGGCACTGGAGTGAAAGCTCCATGAGTGCACTCACGTCCTTGTGTCCCCCAGCCTCTTTGATCAGGCTCAAGGAAACGGGAAGCCCATGGAGAAGCCAGGCCCAACTTACACTTTTATTCTAAAGTGAAACAGCGCTTCTAGTCTGGACTCTTATTTTTAGTGTCTTTATTTTTAAATAATCAGCATGTTTTAAAGTTGTTCTTTAAATTTACTTTGCACCAACCAGCAAGGCACTGGGATACCAGGACTTTGTTGTCAGGATTCCCACCTTGAATTGCACTAAAATCCTGGAGTTTTATTTAATTCCAGAGAAAAGAAACCTCACATTGAAAACAGCTTTGTGTTTCTACCTTTGTTTCCCTTACTTGCTTCCTGCAGATTCATTAATAGAATCCCAGACTTTCTTATTGACAAAGCAGATTTATTCCTCATTTTAACGTTTAAATGAGATACTTAAAACGGTGCTTTAGCTAATCCCTGGTAGAGAATTGGCCTTAACAGAGGCTAATCCTTCACTCACCTCCAGCAAGTCATTGGTATTCATCACATCATCACTGCCATTTGCTCTTTATAAATAAGAAAATGGTTTCTTTGAGGGCAAAGGGATGCAAGTTAGGACGCGGGTAAGAACCCAAGAAACATTTTTAAACTTAAATTCTCTCTGGCCATCTGGGATGCATATATAAAACCGTACATGCTTATGCGCATGGATGGAGACCGTATGGTCTGCAATCACACGTATAAATATAAAAGATCTATTTCAGAATTGTTACTCTGAGCCTAACACAGTCTCCCCCTACCCCTTTCAGATCTCTGCAAATGGCTTTGTTGCCAAGAAGAGGAGAGACTGCATTCAAGTGGAAATCGGACCTCTAATCCAAGCATATTGCTTGCTATTAATCGCCAAAACAGGACTGCTAATGAGGAACCTATTTGCATATGTTTGCAAAAGCTGAATCATTGAAAACATACCATGAAGCTCTCTATCTTTGGTTACTCAAAGGCAGAGAGCAAAGAGTATGGAAGTAGTCCGGCTTTTGAAACTTAGATATTTTATATTTTTCCCCTCAAGAACTTTTTTTTAAGAAACGGATTTGCCATCCTTCTTGATTTGCAGGACTGCCTCGATGGCTTTGTTTGCTGGGACAGGGCCCACAACCTGTGCCTCTCCTATTGACCCTTACTTTGAATTCAGAGATTCTATTTAAGAGTTTAATATATGAGGCTTTCTTTGATTCCTCCTCGGTTCTACTTAGTTTCACAGAGAAAAGAAAATATTGTTTGAATAAAGTGAACAGGGGCTCATTTGTCTGTGCCTTACTTTACTGAGTGAATAGGATTTTCTTCCTCCATATTGAATTTTGTCAGATAGATTCGTAGCAAGCAAAATCTGGAGACTATAGGTTCATGCAAGGCAGAGCTGGCCTCCTGTGTCTGGGGTCCCTCAAGGCCACCTTCAGGTTCATTGGTGTGCTAGAACTGTTATACTTACAGTTATGGTTTATTACAGCAAAGTGATACAGTGTAAAATCTTCAAAAGAAAAGGGTACATTGGGCAGAGTTCAGGCGAGACTAGCCTTAAGTTCCCAATTGTCTTCTCACAGTGAAGTCTTACAGACACGCTTAATTCTCCCATCAAAGATGTGTGACATGTACAAGTAATGGTACAGCATGGCCCCAGACCCCCAGCATACTTCACATTGTCAGCACATGCTGTCTGGCCTGGTGTGGGTCAAGACCCCAGGTATACAAAGATACCCCTAGTAGGGAGGATATTCCAAGGGCTTAGCGGTTATCTCTCAGGAGCCCATTAAGCTAGTCCTTTCTTTGAAATGTAGGGGGCTTGAACACACCAAGCCTGCTGAGTAAACCCTTTAGGGCAAAAATCTTCAAATGTTGAGGAATCACCTGGGCCTAGAACAGTTTAGTATCTGTAAGCGTTAAAATGTTCTGCCCACAACTCCTTGCCTTACATCTTATGAGACTTTGGGAAGGCAGTGACTTACCATTGCTTGGGGCATGGATTTTTTGGAGTCAGGCTGACCTCCTGGCTGTGTGACTTGAGCCTTTGTCTCTTTGTCTGTAAAATGGGTAAGTTAAAACTTTAGGAGTTTATTGGGAATGACTACTGGGTGACATTGGCAGTGACACTTGGTACCTGATAAGTTCTCGGTATGAGGCAGCTCTTGTCTCTCTCCTTGTCTTGAGACGGCAGTGGAATGGTAATTAGGGTCTTGAGGGTATGAGACCCCTTTTGTTCATTCATTTAGCAATCATGTATCAGTCTTCTGCTCAGTTTGTCTGCTCATTTATGTCTGCTTCCAGGAGTTCCACTTTTTATGAGGTGTCCATCCATGAAGACTGTGGATATTCACAGAACTGCCTGGGGAAACACTGAAGGAAATTAAAGGAAAGAAATATGGGGAGAGTGCCATGTGCAATGGCTTAAGCCTGTAATCCTGGCACTTTGGGTGGCAGAGGCGAGAGGATTGCCTGAGCCCGAGCCCGGGGGTTCAAGACCAGCCTGGGCAACTTGGTGAGATCTCATCTCTACAATAAATCAAAAACAGCCAGGCATGGTAGCGTGTGTCTGTAGTTCCAGCTCCTTGGAAGGCTGAGATGGAAAGCGTGGATGACAGAGTGAGATTCCCACTCAAGAAAAAATAACATATGGAGAGAAAGGAAAGGATGGATTCTATTTCTAGCCCCCAAGCAGTGGCATTGGGTTTTGTCCTCTGGAAAAAAAAGAGCCTCAGAATCCACTCCATCTCACCTTCCCCAATTTGATCTGAAAAGATCTTGTATTTAGAATACTACATGAATATATTATAGCATCGGAAACAATCACAAGAATACAGTGAGAATGCAGAGGCCTCATTTGTGCTTCCTCTCAATATTTCCTCCCATCTCTCAAGGTAATGCTATCATTTTCTGTTTGGAATGTGTCTTCCAGACTTCTGCAAAATTCAATACATATAAATATTTATATACTTAAATATATAGTCTTAAAGATACATAAAAATGCAACTCTGAATGGGTTATTCTAGAATGCAATTTAACAAATTGCCCTGGAGGCTTTTCAATGTGAACACGTGCAGATCTAACACCACTCCTTCTACCAGCTGCCTGTATTCTAGAGCAAACCATGTTTTTTGAGCATTCCACTTTTGTGAGGCCCTTAGGCCATTTCCAGTTTTCACCACTACCGGAAAAGCTACCATGGGTATTCCTTGGCGCAACTCTATGAGAGTGTCTCCACAAAATGAGAAGCAGAGTGGCAGAGTGAAAGGCATACACACGAACTTTTTTGGTAGAGTTCCCCATGTGCCCTGATTGAAACATGTTTGACATACTATGAGATCACAGCTGTGTTCTAGAGCCTTCCTTGGGGATACCTTGCAGCAATGTGTCACCCATCACTTGTGCCCTGGCCCATCCACTCTCCAGCTTGGACAGCACACATCTCTTCTGATTCCTTAATTTGACATGAAAACATTTTATTCTGTATGTTACTTGGGTGCTATGATTATACATAATCAGTGGAAAATAAGAGGTGCTTCCTGGCCCTATTTCTTACCAACTGTGTGACCGTGGGCAAGTGATTCTACTTCTCTGAGTTTCAGTTTTTCTCTTCCGTAGAATGAGGGTAAATGGAGAATAAATTACCAATCTCATGGGATGGTTAAGAGAAATCAGCAAGATAAGCAGACACATGATCTAGTTTAGTGAAGCTAAGCAATGAATGCTTATAGTCCCGTGGTGAAGATTTAAATGGTAACTATAACGATGACTATTACTATTCTGAAGTGAGGGATGGATCCTGAGGAACCATCCATATCTCCCCATCAGGATGCATGTTTATCCAACTGATGGCCAGCCAGCTGTTGTCATGACCTGTGATTGTAGGACTGTTCTGCACGTGTACAAAATGGATTCGATATCTTCCTTATTGACAGCTGCCAACCTGGCAGAGCCATCAGGGCCTCTAAAGGACTTGGCAATTTTCCTTTTTTTCTTTTCTTTTTCCTTTTTTTTTTTTTTGAGCCGGGGTCTCACTCTGCCTCCCAGGCTGCAGAGCAGTGGCAGAAGCACAGGTCACCACAGCCTCCTCAACCTCCTGGACTCAAGCGATAGTTCCACCTCAGCCTCTCGAGTAGCTGGGGCTACAGGCATGTGCCACCATGCTCAGCTTTTTTTTTTTTTTTTTTGGTAGAGACATCTCACTGTGTTGCTGAGGTGCTGGTCTTGAATTCCTGGGCTCAGGCAGTCCTCCTGTCTCGGTCTCTCAAAGTGCTGATGTTACAGATGTAAGCCATCGCGCCTGGCCAACAATTTTCCATTTAAAAAAATCTCTTACCTATGTTTACCCAGGGTAAGAGAGGGACAGTTGATGGAATTATGAGCATGGGAAGCTCACGGTCACCAGTCATTGGGTAGCAGACAACTTCCAGTCTCAGACAATCATTGTTCCACTCATCTCTTGCTGCATAACCAACCAGCCCTAAACAGTGACGGAAAACAATTTGTTGTTATATTTCTTAGTTCTGGGAACTAACTGTAGTCATTAAAAACAATGTATCAGCGTCATCTGCAGGTCATCAAACAACTTTTGCATCTCTGGGTTACACTAATGTCACCAGAATGTTCTCTTTCTTCATTTTGGGGTACAAAATTAGGACATACCTTTCTTTTATTTTTTTAAATTGAGACTAGGTAATTGAAAGAACCCAGGATTCTTTGAGGGTTTCCCCAGTCCCTGCCTTGAAACCAGGGACAATTCCTACTCAGGGAGGTGCTTCAGGCCTCTCCAAACCGCACATCTGAGCCCAGAACTGAGAGGACACCTCTCACCCATATCCTCAAAGTCTACCTCAGTCCATGTTTCAAATGAATCCTGCTCAGGATAATTAACAATGAGAATTCCATTCTTTCAGACAGAAACCCCTAGCTCCACCTACCAGGCTCTTCTCCAGCTTAAGTCTTTTCACGAGTTTGGATTATTCTGATATAAGCTTGTTTTCATTGTAACAGCTGGTTTGTTTATTCATATAATTACTTTTTTTAGTCAGGATCTTACTGTTGCCCAGGCTGGAACGCAGTGACACAATCAGCTCATTGCAACTTCAGCCACTTGGTCTTAGGCAGTCCTTCCACCTCAGCCTCCCCAGTAGCTGGAACTACAGGTGTGTGTGACCATGCCTGGCTGATTTTTTTTTTTTTTTTTTGCAGAAAAGAGGTCTCGCTATGTTGCCCAGGCTGGTCTCGAACTCCTTGGCTCAAGCAATCCTCCCACCCTAACCTCCCAAAGTGCTGGGTTTACAGGTATGAACCAACATGTCCAGCCTGGTTTTTTAAATTAATGTTTTACTTTGAAATCATTATAAAGGTATGAAGTTGCAGAAGTAGTGCGATGACTTCCATGCATCCCTCTCCTGGGTTCCCTGATGCTAGACTACAACTGTAGTACAGTAGCCAAACTGGGGAATTGACAGCAGTGAAATACTGTTAACTAGACTACAGATCTCATTCAGTTTTCTATTTTTTACATGCATTCACTGGTATGTGTTTATGGATTTTGATAAGGTTCTGAACCAAGCATTTCAGAGTTTTGTTTCCTTCTTTTAGCAAGAGAACCCTCCATGTACTTCTTACACACCCATACACACAAATCAAGTCACATGTAAAATCTCAATCTATAAAACAAAAGGGACTTTTCTGATGAGAACTCCTTACCTGCCCCAAGCACCAGATACTACTCTCTGAAGCACTTATCATAGTTAAGGTTTTGTATTTATTTTCCTGCTGAGTTGATGCAAGTTGATCTTACTCACTGGGCTGTAAACTCCATGAATGCAGGTAGCATGGTTCTTCAGTGCTCTCATAGTCTGAGACATACTTATTAATATTAAATGTTCATTGTTTTATCTGAATTCAAATTTAATTTGGCATCCTGTATTTTTATTTGCTTCATTCGGCAACCCTAAAAAGGGTGACTGTGTAACCAACAAGATACTGCAGAAATGACAGTGTCAAGCCTTCAGATGACTGCAACCCCATGAGAGACACTGGTCAGAACCACCCAACTTTCTAATGCCCACAGAAAGAAACTGAAATGTATATGTTGTTTCAAGCCACTAACTGCTACATTTCAAGCTGGTAACTTATATTGCAACAGATAATACATAGGTGCTTATTAAACGATTGTTAATGAGGAAAAGAATGAATGAATGATGAAAGCTCTGGTTCCTCACCTTGCTGTATGCTTTTGAGGATACTTGATTTACAGATAATGCGCCAGGCCTATGGAACTTCATGTTCCAGCTTT